GATTTGTTACGACAGAGCTGAGACTGGAAGTTGTCCATTTATAATGCGTACATGCACTATTTAGCATTGTATTACCCTGATTGTATGCTAGCGTAAATTTAAGTTGGATGATTGTTTTCAAAACATTGAAATTTTTAAAATTTTTATTAGGTGAATCTACATACAAAAGTTATTACTGCATTTTTTTATTTAATTTCATTAATATATTTATTTTGATTACCTATGAACTTACCTGTATGCTTACTGAATTTAAGGGGCAATCATTTCATACTCACTTAAAGGATTATTAACAACCTGCAGTTTTGTTCTCGTATTTTATAGATGGAGGGGGACAAGAAATTAAAATAGTATCTAAAGAATCTGTTATTTTGTAAACGTATCCAACTCCTAAAGTGACTGCAATAAAACCTCATTGTTCGTTAATGTTTTGGAGCTCAGCGTTTAAGTTCTCTCTTGCTATGACGTTCTGTATTATTTGCTCTTTTGTTTCTCTTGATGCTTTTCTTTCGAGTATACACATTTGATCAGAATCTTTTAATTAGAAAGCACAAATGCTATAAAGCTAAAAATAGCAAAGCTAAAATTCCTTGCATCAAAGTGCAAGCTTATAAGTAGGATCTTCTCACCAAAAGTGTTTTTTAATTTTTTTTGGTTATGATATGGTTTGATAGAGATTATTGTTATCTGATCCAGCAGAACTTTAAAATAAAAAGAAGCATCTAGGTGCTTTGTGCAGGATACTTCAGAAGTAAGAAAGATACGTTTTGAGGAATAGCACGTTATATCACCGTATATTTTTATTTCTCTTTTTCCTTATTTTATTAAGGAAAAATATTAGTCATCATTTTATTATGCCACTTTTAGCACCCAACTAATTATAATTAATGTCAGAACATTTCTAAAATACTTCCTTTCAAAATTTTTGTTAATTCGGCTGGTAAGAAAAAGTGTAGCTTGTGAATGTTTCACTTGTGGTTAAATATTTGTCCTATTTGAAATGAACTCTTGAAAACATTTTATATTTAAAGCTACCTACAGTACAGTGCAACGAGGCTTGCCACCGATTTTGAACAGTGCACTGTGAGTGTGGTTTACGTACATGTTTCCTCTGTGGAGAGGTTCGTTCTGCAGGGGACAGTTTCTGCAGAAAGGTGATCCCCGATGGGGGTACTGAAGAGACTGTATCAGGAACCATCGGTTTGTGGCCTTTGTTCTTAACAATAAGTAGTCATACTTAATAGTGATTGCCTGTCTCCTCCTCTATTGCAGTGATCCCTAAAGCATCGATCGTGTGATTTAAAATAATTGGAGTCACATCCCTGTTGGTTTGATGGCAAAGTTTGCCCTACCGTATTTATTTTTCTAGGATTCAAGCTTTTGGTGTTTGTTTTAGATAAAATATATTTGTGCCTAGTGATTTGAAATAGTCTTTTCAGCGTTCCAGTTTCCTTCTGATTCCTTTCAGACTTTCACTGAGATGCTTAAACTTCACAATCTTTGACAAAGTTAACTCTTACATGACCACGCCGGGTGCAATTTCTGTAAAGGAGTTTGTGGGGTAGCACGTTTTATGTGCAAGTAGAAATTCCATCTGAAAATACTGCAACTAATGGCTCTTGTTCATATTATTCATTGAGTGCATCTCTCCTGTTCTCCTCCACTTTTATGATTTAGTTGTCAAATGTTAGTGTGTCACATCTATGGTTTTAAAAAAGCCTTGAATTTTCTGAGAAAGTTCCTTGACTTGAGAACTGAGTGACATAGTCGATTGTCTTGCTTCAGTGGTTTAGAGGAACTTTTGCAGCTGTCTGTCTTGTTACTTTTGCTTGAATTAGGTGGCATAAAAGTACACTAGTTTCCTTTCTTGAGTTCTTTATTGACATATGTCTGTGAATCTCAGCTTTCCTTTCAGCTAGCCGGTTTACCTGTTTCCTGAGCTGGCATGTGATAATACAGAGGTGCTTAAAAATAGCATAGAGCCAAGACTTTTAAAATTCAATTTCTTTATTTTGTGGTTCTTAAGCAGATATGCAGAAGAATTATTATCCTAAAAAATATACTGACTGACACTCTGACGGTGAAGTTTTCTGTTATGTTAAATGGGATCTAACTGTTAGCTGTCATTGAAAGGGGAAATCTGTCTTCCTCATCGTTCTCTGGTCGCATGTTCCCTCTTGCTTCTTTCCATCTATCCAATAATGGTGTGACTGTATACTTTAACTGTATCAGCTGATTTCTTCAACATAAAGTTGAGCCAGTCCAAGTAATGATTAATTTTCTAGCACTGGCCTGACTTTCTGGGCAGACGCAGGAGCCAACAAAAGAGAGGAGGTGGGTTCGTGTGACCAGGAAGGTGGGAGGAAGGGGGGGAATGGAAGTGTCCATTTTTGGTAGTAGTTACAATACTCAAAAATAACATATATGCGATATTGCAATGTATAATGACTCTGAATTGAGATTCAAAGATTCTTTGAATCTGGAGGGAACTGGGCTTGACTGGGTGTTCAAAATGTGCATCCTTGTATAGGTTTACATTGCATTTGAATTTAAACTGAACTGGGGAGCGGTCTGGGTTTGTACCACCTGGCTTGGGGGTAGTTACAACATCTGTGTCATGTTTTTCGTCCTAGTTTATTAATAGGCATTTCTCCCTTTAAATCACTTCATCCACTTTTGTCAGTGAATAGCTGTCGTCTAGGGTCACCTTAGAAACACATCAGCTAGGGACATGCTCAGGGGAGGAAATTTCCCAGACCGGATCAATGTGATGCAATATACCTGGCTGTTTTTAAAAAAAAAAAAAAAAGAAAAAAAGAAAAAAAAGCTCTGTCCCTTTTCCACTTCTAGTTACATTGTTATTACTGTGAAATTAGCACAGGCTAGTATGTTTCTATGACAAAAGCTACATTCACTATTATATATGTTTAGAAATTTAAGTTATATTTTTTAAAATTCTTCCTTGCTGACAAATTCTCTTTAAGTACAAACATACAGTTGTGCAGAAGACTTAGTTACACTGAGCACATAGATCTAGGTGGTGGCGTATATCACTTATGTTGTTAACGAGAATAAACAGTGAAGTTCTGTGGAATGTTCTTTGCATTAATAGTGTAATGATGAAAAGGTAACAGCTGTGCTCGCGTTATTCCTTTGATCACAAAGTGGTTGCTGGTGTGCATATAGGTAAATGAAGGTTAGTTAAGGTTAGCAAACATGTGGCAGTGGAACAAGTGAATGACTAAGCTAGTACTGGCCCCTCACGCATTGTACTATCCTTGGCCTGTTGTGTCCTGTTTATGAGCAGCTGCCTAGAAGACTTATCTAGCTAGAGAAGAAGGAGTTTTAAACCCATATCCAAAGCAAACTCTGCTGCTTGAGTATTGCAAAATAAATGCCGGTGCTAACATGATAAGCTGTTGATAGTTATTTTTGCTATATTTTTGGTTGCGTTAGCTGCTACAGCCGCTACTTGTGGGCGTCCGTACGTGCTATGGTTGTCTGTCCAGGAACTCGTGAGTACCGTTGACCTATGGCATGGGTCACTCGGCATTGGCTTTGGATCTCTTAATTTCAGTTAAGATGTTCAAAAAATTGTGATGGTGGGAAATTACTGCCTTTTATTTTTGAGGGCTTTTTTTGGGCTGGAAAGTAGGCTTTTCATATTGATGGTAATTAATCATTGAAATTATTTACCCAGGTGAGGTAAACTACATAACTATTTAGTTGCTTAGTCAAAGATTATACGTTTGTTCAAGAGAGATGTTCTAAATCATCCAGAAATTATAGGAATCACTTAGTGAAATTCTGTGGCCTGCGTTGCAAAGAAGGTTAGATCATAATAGGGATAGCTTAAAGGCTATCTGACTCTCTGAATTATGTCTACTAAGCGACATTCTAAGAAGCTTTCCTGTTAATGTTGCATCCTTCTAAAACGTAGTTTAAATATCTGGAATATTTCATCATGTAATTTTGCATGCACGTTCATTGCAGTGCCGAAGCTAGACGTTTTTATAGATAGCGTTCAGCCTGAGCTGCCTCCAATAAAATAAGTCTTCCCGAAGTGTTTGTGGGTTTTTTTTGTGTGTGTGTTTTTTGTTGTTGTGTGTTTTTCCTTAATTCAGTTGGTGCCATTGTGTAAAATAAGGGTAGTAAGTGTAAGTGACCGTTCTGGCCCCTTCTTCATCCATGAAGAAAACTTGCTGTAACGCTCCTTACCTACTGTTCAGATAGGGATGTTCCTACAGGCCTGCAGGACCGGTGGTTGTTGGAGAAGCCCTGGTGTCTTTTACTTCCTAACGGAGTAGTGAAACCAGAGTGAGGCTCTTCCTTCTGCTACAACTACGTAAGTTTGGCCGAGGAGTTGTCTTCAGAAGTTCTCTAAAAGATTTTCCTCTTTTTAGTCGTGTCATCTTGCTAAACAGCAAATATATACATAAACTTTTCCGTATGAGTTTTATAGTTGAGGAATTCATCCTCTCTTCTCGTCTCAGGGCCTTCATTGTCCTGGCAGCTTTTTCCCATGCATGTTTGTTTTATGCTATCTGTTATTGTTTTCCTTTACACTTGATGAAAGGTAACAGTTCAGGACCGTTTCAGCACAGACTGAATGTCTAGTTACTGTACCGTGCCCCACGTACTCAACACTTCTGCAGGTGCGGTTCGATTCTGGTAAAAGACCTTTCATGACAATGGTACGCAAGGGTGCTGTATAGAATAGAATTGCATGTGCTTTAGGTTAAATGTCGGTGCCGTTTGTGTATTGTGAATCTTTTTAAAATGGGCTGAGCACAATTCTCAGTCTGGCACAGCCACTTTTGTGTTGTGTTTGTAGCTCTCAGTAGCCAAAAATCTGCCTCTCTTGGCTCGCTGCTTGTGAGACTGTGGCGTCACAAGGTCGATGCCTGTGATGTGGACAGATACGCTGCTACACAACGTCAGTGCATATAGACAGAGCATCTCCTCATTTTAGGAGCCCTGTATGTGAGAGGGATGTCCCAGGCATGCCCTTTTGCACGCTCCAGCTGCTGGATGGGCCTCTCGAGCGGGTATTATTGAGGCAAGCACATTTATGGCACGAAGTGGTGCCCGGGAGCGGGCACGTGGCTGGAGTGAGGGTCCTGCAGCACAACCTGGGCGCTCCTGTTCCCCAGCGCGTTAGAGCAGGGCCACGGCCTGCGTGGGTATGGGAAAGTGGCAGCTCTCATGGGAAACGGAGGAAAAGGGGAGAAGCAAAGCAGGAGGGAAAATGGATGTTCTCAGCTCTTCTGGATTTAATGCCTATTGAAAGCCTGCCAGGAGTTTTAGAGAGAGTGAATTTGATGATTCACATTGTCCCATCCTGTCCTGTGTTTCCCAGAGTTTTCAATAAATCATTTGTTACGTTTGCGCTATCCTATATTGTATTTATTTAGAGAAGTGTAGTATAGAGTTGTAAATGGCTCTTCAGTGCTTCTTTTTAGATTTCTCTGTCTGCATGTTTCAAATCTTAATGTGCAGATTTCAATGGCAGGAAAATAAAAACAAACTTGATACTGTTCAGTGTCTGAAAGTAGCTTTTCTAATTAATTACTTAATATCACTGTTTACTTCCTTGGGACTTTTCAGGTCTAGAAACAAGTGTTTTGTGTTTCCATTAGATAGCTGAGTATTTTCTTCTACTACTAGAAAAAATTATTCCATTTCTGGCTGATTGTGAGTTACAAAATACTCATATGCTTGTTCCTTGCGGGACTGAATGAAAGCAATTAATTCTGGAAACATATATGGCAAAGGGAAGAAGACAGAGATGTTTCTCTAGTACCCTGTTGTTTTCTCTGGTTTTGATGGCTGCTAAGGAGTTTGGAGCCTTTTGGCAGAGATGGGTAATGGGGTAGTCAGTGAAAGTTTTAAATGCAGCTAATCAGAATGTATCGCACTGCTTAGCTGAGAGAGGATCTGAAAGATCAGTTTCATTCCTGTTATGTCAGCAGAATTCGTGAGTATGTCCTGGTCCAGCCAAATCAGTAACATTCACGCTGCTCTTCACAGGTCTGTACCTAGAGTTAGGTTAACATAAAGATAATGCATCACCCAGAGAAAGTTTTCCTGTTGTGTTTGCTCAGGGTTTTGCCCAGGATGTAAGTTTTAAAAAAATGAAATATATCCTGCAGTGCTGATAGATTAACATGGAGGTGATAACTAATTCATAGGCCTATTTAAGAATTCCCAGTAATACAAACTCATAGATTAAGAAAAAAAACCAAGTCTTTTATTCAATATAATAGGATAGTACTATGTCCATTTCAATATAATTTTATTTGATTAATGGCATATCGTTACTTAGTATTTTGCTTTCTGCATTCACAAACTTGTGTGATATGTTTTATAGTACCTGAATACTAATTCCAGTCTTTTTAATATTGCAGTCCACCCATATTGCTCGAGCCAGCTTCCAAGTTGATGCTTTTGGATCATCCTTCATCCTAGATGTAGTGCTAAACCAGTAAGTAATGATTGTATCTTACTCTATGTTTGTTCAGGACCTGGTGCCGGTGAAAGGTCAGCTTTTGCTGGAGGCTTTAGAGGTTCTGTTATTGCATAAATACTGTTTCTAGGTTTTAAGTTTAAAATAGTATCTCTTAGATTCTTTTTTATTTAACTTCTCCGGTCCGGTATCTTTGTAGAGTTTGATATTCCCCTTGTTACTACTAGTTACTAGCTACTGTAGTGTAACTGATGTTGTTTTTTTTTATAATTTCATTTGCAATCTTCTAGTTTACTGTGAAAGCAGATTACTATACTCATACAGAACCTCACTGGATAGAAAAATACAGAGTTGCTGAAAACTGGTATCTGTTAACATTTTAATAGTTGAGTACGAGGAGATTCAGCAACTACACTACAGATAATCCTGGAAAAAGAATGAAGTGAATAGTTGTGAATAAAGTTTCTCAAGATGAATTTACAGTCTTTTGGGAACATAGAAGCATTATAAGGCAGGAGCACACTGTGAACTTCAGACTAAATAGAAAGATTGAACAATAGTAAACCTAAAGTCTGATGTGTAGCATTCAGCATTGAGTTTTCAAAGTAGCTTTTTAGCACGTCTGTTTTAAAATAGGAGCTGTTTTGCTTTTCTACTCTGAAGTGAAAAGAGAGTAGATAAATATAATAAATAGAGAAGATTTTTTAAAGTATTTTAGCTCCTAATAATTGAACATAATGTTGCATGGTTTAATGTAAGAGGTGAACTGTTGAATTCCTACAAGTTTTTCTACTATAAAGATGAACAGTTCAGGATGCAAAAGAAGTCAGCTTAGTCTCAGTTCTTTTACTTCTAGGTACATTTTAAACCGTGGCAATCCCTTTACGTGTGCTGACCTCAGTTAAGTTAAAAACACATGTGAAGTGTTGCTGGTCACAGAGGGAAGAGACGCTACGCTGCTAGAGAGAGGGAGAGAGACTGATTTAAACCTATCAGCTTTTAAATCTAAAACAGCTAATACACTTTAAAACAATGCTAAAGGAAGGATATCCTATTGGAAAGCACTAATTCCACAGAATTGAAGTATTTGAAAATATTAATTTTGTATATATTTTAAGCATTACTGAGAGGAGGCTGCACAAACCTATGTTTATTTTGGGTAACAGATTGAGAGTGTGCTCACAGTTACTAATTTCTAAGGTCAGGATTTTCCTTTCGGTGTGAATTTCAGATCATCTTAATAAAAATAGATAAATTCACTAGTAGTATGTGAAAAGACAAGCTAAGGATGTGATTTTATTATGAACTGTAGCAGCTCTCTGGAGGTGGCTTTTTGTTTGTGTTTGCATAAAATGTACAATATATGTGTATCTATAAAAAGATATATCAAGTTATATACATATATTTATAATGTGATTTGTTTTTGAGCTGGATTCCATTTTTAGGTCATTTTCTTTTTGTCTTTAATGACATTAAACCAGTATTTGTATGAATAAGACTGCCACAATGTGGCCTGATTATGCTTAAGAGTTCCAGTACTCAACTTAAAGATGAACGTTTTCTAAGGAACTGTGATTTTTGTGATTATAATATGAACAAAATCCTATCACAAATTGTGCAAAATGAAAACAAGAAGGCTGCAAGGAAATTAATCATGATGTTTAAATCAGGATGTTAATTGCTTCTGAAATTGCATTGATCATCAGATAAAAAGAGGGACAAGAATACCAGAGCAACATTTAAAATGCACTCTTTATTGTTATTCCTGAAAGCAAACCTATTCTTTTCAAAGGCTGTATATATTTTTAACCTTATTAATATTTTTCTCTTGTTTTAATTCCTGCCCTCTCTATTATAGAAGTGGCTTGAGAGAAAAACACTGTGTTTTTGAGGGAGTGGTTTACAAATTTGGCCCACAGTAGCCTTATCTTTGAAAAACAGTTGAATGCTTGAAAGGAGCAAGCTTCAAGATTTTCGTTTTCCTCTAGAAAAAATACTGGCTTACTACTTATTGCTGAACCTCTACTAATATAAAAAACATTGTGAGGCAAGCCTCTGTGGTAAAATTAACTCTTATGCTTAATAATATACTTGAGGATTGTTAAAGGAGGTGATGGGGGACAGAGAGGGAAACAAATCATTTAAAATACATAGGTTGTCAGGAAGGAGAGCTGACTCCTGCCTCTGCCAGTCTCCTTTGTTGAAGAATCACAGGGACCTAAGCGCTTTGGAACTGGCAGAAGTATTTGAACCTGGAAAGACGGGTCTGTGCACAGCAGCCGTCACCTGAGAAGTGTTTTGGAGACAATTCTCAAATTAACTTGCAGGTATTGAGCCCAGTGCACACTGTTGTTCAAAGGTTAGTGTACATGGCTAGTGTGTCTGAATGTATTTGAGCATCATCTCTAGTGTCAATGTAAACAGTTAGCAATCATTGTGAAAGTGTACGTTCTTCCCCAGTTTATGGAGAAAAGAGTTCAGAATTGCAGTAGTAAACAGAGAGCTTTAAATAAATTCACAAACTAAAATATTCTCCCATTCCCTAAAGTCTGCAAATAGATTATTTTCTTAGTTTTGTCTGCTGCTTTCTCTGCCTGTGTTATTCTTTCTCTGTTCAATTCTATCTTTTTATCTGACAGTCAATTTCTCTGTTACCTCTGTTGCATTTGCCTATACTATGTTATACATCCCCCCCCTTTTGTATATCATATTCTGTTGTGTGTACGTTTTCCCATCTTTCTTCTTACTCAGTTCTCTGAAGATTCACAAATTCCTTTCTCTTCTTTTCCCACCAGGAATAATTGACCCCTCTGTCGTTTATAGATACTTTAGATACCTTAACTTGCTTCTCCAGCAGTCTTTTCCTTGACGACTTTTTGTACACTGAGGGTTGAGGCTGGCAGAAATGTTTATGGTCTCCTACCTGTCTCTCCTCCATTGCTTGATATCCTCTGTTTTGTCTCTTTGCTTCACCATAGGAGAGACACTGGTGTTGAATTTGGGAGTTAGCTGAAGCTACTTTCTTTTCCTAGTCCTTTCCTTTACCATCTCTCACATCACTGGCCTGTAACCAAAAGCTGATCTGTGCAGTGAAAAAGCTGGAAGGATAAAGGGGATGGGGAGGGAACCAAAAAGCAGAGGTTACACTGATTTCAGATATTAGAAAAATTGAAGGCCCAGAAGGTGAGTGTTCTCCTTTCTTACATGCA